CAGGCATAAATGCTCTGCTATGAATATCTGAATTTCAGATCAATAAATACTGTGCAGTTACACACCCATCTGGCCACAGAGGAGAATGCACCGGAATGAAGGCATGCACTAATAATCAGTAAGAGAATTCAACCCTTACTCCTCCTGGCCATTTTTATTGTTATTATTATTTAGGGGTTGGCATTGTAGAATATTAGATTAATCTACCATATGGATGCTTGTGCGAGTTCAGGCATTCTACTTCTGATCCAGCCCCCTGCTAATTTGCCTGGAAAGGCAACAGAAAATGATTCAAATACTTGGGGTCCTGTACTCATGTGGGAGACTGAAAGAAATTCTTGGCTCCTGGCTTTGACTGGCTCATTCCTGCTGTTGGGGACATTTAGGGGAGTGAACTTGTGGATGGAAGAGATCTCTGTTTCTTTCTTTCTGTGATTCTCCCAAATAAATAAATCTTCATTATTATTATTTTGCTTGAGATTGGGAGAGAGAAAAACAGAAGGCGGTGCCATCTGCTGGTTCATTCTTGAAGTCTGTCTGAGCCAGGGTAAAACTGAAGTCAGTAACTTTATATGAATCTCCCACACAGGTGGCAAGGACTCAAATATTTCAGCCATTAGTAGCTGCCTCTAAGGATGCATGTCAACAGGAAGCTGGATTGAAAGCGTTACAACCAAAAGTCAACCCGGCCACTCCAAAGTGACAGCATGACTGCTGTGCCACAACCATCCCTAATTCCTAATTTTTAATCGACCATCCAAATGAGCTCTAGTTGTTCATCTAATACAAAAGATTTCAAACTGGAGACATCTTTAACACCAAGATGTTCCTCAATTTTAGCCCATATAGTCAGTTTGCTTCTTTTACCACTTTCCCCATAAGATATATTGCAAACCTTTTCCAAATCTGACCTTCACTGATGCAGTATTTTTCGGGTTGTCTCATAGAATGCAGCCTCCTAGGGGGAGATTTTCCAGTGCTATTCAGCACATACTCTCTGGCATGGTGACTGAGTGGGCTGCTGCTCCAATGCTTCTAGGAGCCAGCCTGTGTTTGCCTCTCTGAGCCTCACCAGGCACATGAGCTCCAGTACCTCTGGGGTGTGCTCCTGAACGCATAAACTCCCATATTCAATCCTGCACTGGCTCTCTCACTCTGCCCTTGTCAGAGGTCAGTATCCTGTGTATTCTTCCAGCCCCTGATGCCATGGGACAACCTGGTCCTTGTCTCCTGTGGCAGTCTTTTACTTTTCCTCCTTTAAGAGTTCTACATGCTCTTGGATTGAACTGTGACCCTTTTCCATTGGATTAAGTTATCAAGAGAGGAAGTAGGAATGCGAAAGTTCTTGGAAATGCCTTGTCTTCAGGCAGAGACCAGTAGGCCACCATTTTTGCAGCCTTGGAAGGTTCAGGAAACCTGAGGATTCAAGATGTTTAGGTGCAGCAACTCAGATCGTCACATCTCATGTCAGGGTTTTATTCTTTCCCAGCTAGAACCCTGATGCTAACACAGCAAACCCACCTAGCTTGGGTTTGAACTTCTGAATAAGTCCGGGACCTAGCCCTCAGTTCTCTCTGCCCTGGCTTTCATAGGAAGCTTGCAAGATATTAATGCAGAAGTACAGTGTTATTGAGGAGTGTTTTTCACATTTAGCTTTTAATGTCAAGTAGTTTTTAAAAGATTTATTTATTTTTATTAGAAAGGCAGACACACAGAGAGGAGAAACAGAGAAGAAGATCTTCCGTCTGTGGATTTACTCCCCAAGTGGCCGCAACAGCTGGAGCTGAGCCAATCTGGAGCTAGGAGTCCAGAGCCTCTTCCAGGTCTCTCATATGGGTGCAGGTCCCAAGTCTTTGGCTTGTCCTCGACTGCTTTCCCAGGCCACAGGCAGGGAGCTGGATGGGAAGCAGGGCTGTCAGGATTAGAACCAGCACCCATATGGGATCCCGGCACATTCAAGGCGAGGACTTTAACCGTTATGCTATCGCTTTAAATTCCATTCTCATTTTTCCCCGAGGCACTGGCCCAGTTCATCTATAGCCCCTCAATTCCATTACTGTCCCATCCCCTTCCATTACCTCTCTATAACCTGACATTTTGAGCCTATAGCTGCTTTTGTTTTCACTGGTATACCATCCATTTCACTACTGGTCAAAGTATAATACTGTCACCATGCAACAACTCCAAAATCAACAGGACATCCAGTTTCTTGCCCTACTTCTGGTAGCCCAAGTATTGCAGGTTTGGTCCCCTGGATGCAAGAGGAGCAAGTGAGAATCCTAGTAGGGCAAGATAAAGATGTTCCATTGGCCAGAGGCACATGCTGTGCTATGCTGCCATCTCAGAGAAGTATTCATTAACTCCATGGGGACCTCTGAAACAGGGACAGCCTTCCACATCCTCACAATATGTGGGGTTGGGACTCATCTTTTCCTGCAGGTGCCCAGGATGTATTCCCTCATGGAAGGTGGCGATCTTCAATTAAGGTAACCTTGGAGATAACTGGCAGCAAGGGCAGCCCACCCCAAGTGAGGGAGCCGACTCCTCCAAGATCGAACAGGAGTCTGGGGGCACGTCACAGTCCTGCTGAGTGGTTGGTTCTTCATTCAGTAGTGTAACGTGGGTCAGCACTGTATCCCTACAGGCTGTTATAGTCCTGGCTGATGTGCTTCCAACTTCATCTTGCATTATCATCCTATCAGACTATGTCTATCTTCATCCTTTACTGGGTGTCATTCATCTATTACAGCTGATGCCACAAGGCAGAGGTGGCAGCTCAGTATATTTGGGAAACTAAGAAGGTTAACAGGAATGACCAATCAAAATGATTAAGAGCTTTAAGAGATGCTTGAATAAATGGTATGAACCTGATAGTTCTAGAAAAGCTATACAGAGGAGATGGCTGAGCACTGTCTTGAGGAAATGTGTGCTTTTCCAGTGCCAGAAGCAGGGAGAGCAGAGAGGACCTGAAGAGTTTGACTTCTGGTCCCTTTCCTCAAAACTCATCATTTCACTGATACATTTGTTTACTTACATGCAAATTAATTACCCCACCCCATGTCAGGCCTCATCTTCCCCTTCCATCACTTCAACTTCTCTCCCAGTGGACATGCCAAGGTCTCATGTCATCTCTAGAGTGAGTGCCCTTACTGTACCCCAAAGCAGCCACGAAAGCCAAGGTTAGTCTAGTCTTAACAAATGACACACAAGACCCAGTTTATGCTTACTTTGCTTCCAGTGTGTATGTTCCCTAACCTCACCAAAACAAACCAAAAAATCTGCTAAATTTCTCAATATTGGAACTATATAAAGTGCCCTTTAGAATTTTAAATCTGGGTGCTTGGTGTGATGGCTTAATTGGCTAATCATCCACCTTGCAAGCACCAGGATCCCATATGGATACTGGTTTGTGTTCCACCTGAGCTCTTTTTTTATGGCCTGGGAAAGTAGTGGAGGATGGTCCAAAGCCTGGGGACCCTGCACCTGTGTGGGAGACCTTAAAGAAGCTCCTGGTTTCAGATCAGCTCTGTTCCGGCTATTGTGAGCATTTGGGGAGTGAACCAGTGAATGGAAGATCTTTCTGTCTATGCTCCTCTCTGTGGATCTACCCCTTCCATAAAAATAAATCAATCTTACAAAAAAAAAAAAAAAGAGGGCCCCAGCACTGTAGGCTATTGACTAAAGTCGTTGCCTTGCACTCACTGGGATTCCATAGTGTCATTGGTTCTAATCCCAGCAGCCCCGCTTCCCATGCAGCTTCCTGCTTGTGGCCCTGGAAAGCACTTGAGGACAGATCAAAGCTTTGGGACCCTGACCCATGTGGCAGACCTGGAAGAGGCTCCTGGCTTCTGGCTTCAGATCGGCTTAGCTCCGGTCATTGTGGCTGCTTGGGGAGTAAATCAACAGATGGAAGATCTTCCTCTGTGTCTCTCCTCCTCTCTGTATATCTGACCTTACAATTAAAAAAAAAAATCTTTAAAAAAGAAGAAATAAGGGAAGCACAAGCAAAGTAAAGAAAAAACAATTTTAAATCTGCTACATAGGTACAGGTTTTCCCTTTATTTTTTAATTTTTATATTATTTTTATTGTGAAAGGCACATTTACAGATCTTTCACCTGCTGGTTCACCCCCCAAGTGGCAGCAATGGCCAGAGCCGATCCAAAGCCAGCAGCCAGGAACTTCTTAGAGGTCTCCCACAGGGTGCAGGGTCCCAAAACTTTGGGCTGTCCTCTACTACTTTCCCAGGCAACAAGCAGGGAGCTGGGACATGAAACTGTACCCATATGAAATTCTGGCACGTGTAAGGCGAGGATTTAGTCACTGAACCACTGCACCTGGCCCTAGTTTCATTAATTTCAATCATACCAATTAGGTATGATTTTTTCCATGTTGAAAAATATTTGGCACATATGCTTCTGAATTAATAACTCAAGAGGGTCAATATTTACCTTTATTACTCAGAACTGCTTCCAATTGGTGGCTTTCCCTGAGCAGAGCACAAAGCAAGCTGATTTCCATCTAATTTACAACGCTGGCCCCGACAGATGGAAGATTTGAGGTGCTATAGGACATCTGGAAACCTAAGCAGTAAGATTACAATTGGTGTGAACTTACTGGCTAATCTTTAAAGCATTCATCGTTGTATCTGGAACATTCTTGTAACTCAATGGAATGAACTGGAAATATTTTTTTCTAACTCTGTAAATGCTTTTTCAACTGTTAATTCATCTGCCAATGTTTATGGTAAAGGGAAATGTAACAATGCATATGTTTACAGCAAATAAGGATATGACTTGTCAATTATACATATGTAACTATGTCTTTCAGAAGTAAACCAGAGATAATAATTAATATTCACATTCAAATGCCACAAGAACGGATACAAAAAATGGAGCAACTAAGTCAGCCCCTTGTTAACAAAATGGATAGCACCCCATTATAACAACAGCTCTTATTTCATGGGTCGAATTACACAGCGGACTCATCATGCTCCTCACAATTTCACATCACATTTAATAAAGACTTTGATGTAGTCCCCTGACACTCCAATTCCATAGGTCTTCCTTCAAATTTCCCTTCTATGCAAAGAAGAGCTGAAGCACCAGTAAGAAAGACTGTTAACAATATTTTTATTTCATCATTATCATCCTCATCATGATTATCATCATCAAACATGCAGTGTCTTCGTTCTATGTGCATGGCACTGTAAAATGGGCACTACACTCTGCCTTATGGTACAAAGTTATAAATACAATATACCAATACAAAGTTGAAGCCAGTAAAAAGACCGTAATAACAACTACCAGGATATAATTAAATCTGGAGTGTTGATGGAACCATGAAGAGATTTAGAAACAGCACAGAAACTCAAACATTACAATACATGTTTTACTTGGGAAGGGGTGAGGAACTTATTAAGTGCTACGGAAGGATTTCCCAAGTTGGCCCGTTCACTTTCGCTCCGCTATGATTTTTAAGTACTGCAAAGCATTGTGAGCTGCATCACTTTGTGCACTACCACAGGAGATGCCTGAGCCGTGGCAGACTGTGATGGGGCTGGTAGACAGTTCAGCCAGACATTGATAGTGTCCGTTGGCACTCAGTTCTTCTGTAATGATACATTCAAACAGGATGATTAACACCAATTATGTATAAACAACACAATATTACTATCTTGAAGCGTTCATGTACACTACTCATCATCTTTGCCATGCTCAAACAACAAAACACCTGCTAAGCTGAAGCAGGAATTCTCAACACTGCACTTGCAAATCATCTAAGGGGGCCTTAAAGAAATAGAGGTACCCAGGTCTCCCTGCAGACCATGTAATCCCAGATATAGGGTTGCGGGTGCCTGATTCCTACACTGAAAAAAGCTCTCAAGGCAGTTCTAATGTAGTCAAACATGTTTGCAAAATACTGAACTACAGCAATGTTCCTTTGCCAGAGAACTGGAAAGGTCTTTTCCACTAGGAAAATTTTCCATTTTCAGTATGCATTTGTTCAAGGCAAGACTTCCTTCCCTTAGACCTTCATGTCTGTGCAAGGTCTAGTTTTCAAGCATAAATTACAGTGTTTTAAAAACAACATAAACTCAGGAAACACATGATCTTATCATCTGCTGAGTCACTCTAATTGAAGATGGGCTGAAATGAGTCAAAAGTAGAAACTGGTGGGACAGGATGTGATTGAGTAAATGTTGCTATGTTAGCTAGCTGATTTAATGCAAATATCCTTATACAATGGCTTACTGAATGAATGAAGAGTCTAGATTAGATCCTGTAGTGTTTTTTTTTAAGTAAAGTAAAATTCATGTACATATAAGTAGCTATTTAAAAATGAATGATTGAGGAGCATGTGTTTAGCCTAGTGCTTGGAATACCTGCTGAGATGGTCACCTCTTATACCTGACCAAGCTTCTTTCTAACGCACACCCTGGGAGGCAGCAGGTGATGGCTGAAGTAGCTGACTCCCTACAACCCATAAGGGAAATTCAGACTGCTTCTGGCTCTGACCTTTAGCCTCAAATCAGCCCCAAACAATTCAGCAATATTTAGTATAAGCACAATGTAGCACAATTACCACCTCTATCTACTCCCCAAATATTTTCATCCATCCAAGTAGAAACTCCATAACCATTAGGCAGTTACTACCTATATCCCATCCCTCCAGCCCCTAGCAACTAACTGTTTTCTGTCTCTAAGGATTAATCTAATACATGATGTTTTATGTTTGGCTTCTTTCACTTGGGGATAATGTTTTTTCTTGCGAGGGGTCATCACACCATAGCACATATTAAAACTTCATTCATTTTTGTGACTGAATTATAAGAACATTCTAACTGCATTGTAAGAACATTCTACAATTTGTTTACTTAATTGTTGATGCACATCTGGGCTGTTTCCACCTACTGTCTCTTCTGAATAGTGCTGCTATAAACATGCATCTAGATATGTATTTGAATACCAGTTTTCTATGCTTGGGGTATTTGTCTAGGGGTAGAATTGCAAGGTCATATTGGAACCAAAAAAATTTTCCATGGTAGCAAAGCCATTTTACATTCTTGCTTGTGGTTTCTGAGGTTTCCCTTTGTCTACATCTGCTGCCCACATTTGCTGTCTCCCATTTGCTGATTCTAGCTATCCCAGAGGGTACGAAGTGGTGGTCCCCCACTGTGATTTTGATTTGTATCTCCCTAGTGACTAATGATGTTGAACATCTTTTCACATGCTTGTTGGTCATCCATATGTGTATCTTCATGAGAATATCTAGGTTCTTTTAAAGGAAATTAAAACTATTTTATTTGAAAGATGGACAGAGTCAGAAACAGGGATGTCTTACCCGTTTCACTCCACAAATGCCAGGCCAAGACCAGGAGTTAGGAACCCACCCTTGGTCTCCCATGTGGAGGGACAGGAATCCAACTACCTGAACCTTCACCCACCTCATGCCATGGTGCACATGAGCAGGAAGCTGGACCTGGGAGTGCAGCCAGGACTTGAATCAAGGCACTCCATTAAGGGACACAGATGTTACCAGTAGTATTTTAGCCACTGTGTCAAATGCGTACCCCCTAGGGTCTTTTTGCAGCCAACTGCACAGAAACTAGCCAGAAATTAACAGACTGTGGTTTTCAGAATGTTGTTATATATTTACAAGAACTATTTAGTTCTTATAATTGGTAGAAAATGTTACAAAAGTATCACTGATTCATAACCTAAAACTCCATCTCAAGTTACCTTCTTTTCCTAAATTCTCTTTTATTGTCCTATATATACCTCTCATTTCTGTTCCACACTGAACAAACTATAGACAACAACAAATATTTGTTGAAGGAATAGCCTCTCATGAGCCACCTGTTCTATTTGCACTAAATTCCCTAATTCTGCTTCACTCTCTGATGATTGAGACATTACAATTGATTCATCATTGAATGCCAAAGCAGCAGAGAATACCAGAAGTTTGTTTAGCCTTTAAATACATCACTCTTCCAATCCTACTAGCTCTGATAAGCTAGGTCCCCATATCTCACCAAGGTTGAAATAGGGAAATCAAATCCTTCACACATCACACTGATTATATTAAATAATATAGTTAAAGTAAATATAGATACCAAGCACACACTTTTACACATAAATGCAGGCAGACACATGCGCGCGCACACACACACACACACAAACACACAAACTAGCTTTATAAACTGAATGAAAGGAAGATCCACAATGACTTCTTTCCCATTGTCTACATTTACCTAAATGACTAATGGTTAAGGTGACGAGTGTCTTTTCCTTTGCTAAGCTGCGCGTTAGGCTAGTGTAGTATTAGGTCTATGTTCTGGACCTCTTCCCTTGCTCTGGCTCTTCTGCTAAACAGCTAGGTTACCTTGGGTAAGTTTCTCTTCCTCATTCTTTCTGTGCCTTGCTTTCTTCACTTTTAGATGAGGATTACTTTACAAAGTAAGTTAATACATATACTTTTTTGAAAACAGTGCTTGACACACAAATCTATAATCAGTAGTTGTTTTTGTTGCAGGTGTATAGATGATAACTAGTATTACTGTCCAAAAAGAAAACCATACCAAGTATATATACCAATATGGACAGGTTTCAAATAATTTTTGCACCTACAGATTTATCTTTTATCCCTACTTTTCCATAAATTTGAAGTACCCTAGTATAAATAATAACAGGATAAATTTTTGTTTCTCAAACATTTTTTAAACCAATAATTTCATAGAATAGGCCAAAGACAACTTCATACCTATATCCAAATATGTTATGGTAAAACCTTGTTCTTTGGCAATCTCACTGAGCAGCTGGATATAATCTGTATTCGGAAGACTAAGGAGGCTTCTCTTCAGTAAGTTGATCTTTTCTCCTGGAGAATTCCTCAAGGAGTGCCAGGTACATCCTAAAGAATGCCCTACCATATTTGTCTGAAAAACAAAAATGAATATTTAGACTCTTACCCAAGATGCAATTCCAACACCAGCAGCAGTATAATTAGAAGTACTTAAAAAACATTCACATGTAATATCTATAGATAGCATTTTGTTAACTTTCCATCCAATTTAAACCAGACAACAAGTGCACACATTTAGCAAATACCATGTTTTAAGGAAGAAGCACTTGCAGTAACATACTGTAAGGGCTTATAGTTTTAAGTAGTTTAAGGTTTCTCAAATGTTTCTGATGATCACATTAATAGATAATCTGAAAACAACACACATAAATCTGTAAATGAATTAAACTGTTTAATGAACAACTAACAAGGTAAGATGAGAGAAACAATTTTTGTACCTATGACTTTTTGTGTTAAATATCGATCACTATGACTGCTGTAAAATAAAAACATACAACTGAGTAAAATCAAAGAAAACTGAAGAAATGTGCAAGCTGATTAGACAATGTAATTCAAATGAATGGAAGAGTATCAAAAATATATCATGTTTATATCCCAGAACCCAAATGAGTCTGTGGTTTTTCCTCCTCTTTTTTTAAAGTCCCTATATCTTTCCCTTTTCATCTGTTCTTAAAATTCTTATATTTCCTTTTTAGATTCTGGTTTTCAAAATGCTTTCATAAGCCATTAATAAAAATAACTACCACCTGAGGTAAATAGGCTAACTCCTGTCTTACTTTAATGAGTATGACAGAGGTGAAGGGATTTTCTAAATAAAGGTCATGAGGATGTCCATGTAAAGATTTTTTGTTAAATTTACTAAATCAACATCGACCTTATAACCTTGGAAAAATCTATTTTTAAATAATTGTAGTTCCTTCACATGGCTCAAAAATATACAATAAGTATGTAACTAAGAGTAAAATCTCCCTTTCTCCTGCTCCTTTCCAGAATTCTCTTGTACTTCGAGGTACCTGCTGTTAAGCTTTTCTTCGGTGTAAACGTTTTATGCACGTGCAAGCACACACACACACACACCTTTTCAAACAAAATGACAGTTTACACTTACATCCAGCCCCCTTTCCTTGTATCAGTGCTCATGCACAGCACTATACTTGTGTTATTAGTCTCCAACTATGAGTTTTGGTTGCTTCTGGCTTCTTTCTTTGACTAACAATGCTTCAATAAATACTTGTGGCTCTATAGACTATTTCTCTGTAGAATATCAAGGTGAACTGCTGAGCTTATAAACAAGTATAGTTTTGATAAACATAAACTGATTCCTGAACCAGTTTGTACTCCCACCAATTGTCTTGGAGGGTGATAATGTTCTTCAGATTCCCCAATGGCAGATGCCATCAAATTTCTATTTTTGCCAATGTATCAAGGAAAAAAAAAGAATCGATTTTTCCTTTTACTTTTCCCTTTATATTCACTTATACTTTCTTTTAAAGAGATACTTTACTTGAAAGGCCATGTTACAGGAAGACAGGGAGACCTAGGTTGATCTGTCATCTGCTGCTTCACTTGTAAATGGCTGCAGCAGCCAGACATGGCCAGGCAGACATCAGGGGTCAGGGAACTCCATCTGGATCTTCCATGTGGATGGCAAGGGCCCCAAGACTTGAGTCACCTCTGCTACTTTCCCAGGCATATTAGCCGGTTCACTGGGTCTGAAGTGGAGCAGACTGGATTCAAACCAGCACTTCTATGTGGATGTTAACATTGCAGGTTGTGGCTTAATCCGGAGTCACAACACAGCCCTGGAGAGTTTTTATTTATTGATGTGGAAGATCTTTTCATAATATGGCACTGAAAACATTCTCTTTATAGTCATGGGTTGAAAAGAATTTCTTCTTTTTTTTGTTCTGAATTTTGTTTATAAATATTTGTCCTATGTAAGTTTTATATAGTCAAATTTGGAAGCCTTACTTTAAACTTCCATATTTTAGGTTAGGATTAAAAAGGCATTCCATGGGGGTCAGTACAGTGGCATACTGGGTAAAGCTGCCAAAAACAGTACAGGCATCCCATGTGGGTGCCGGTTCAGGTCCTGGCTGTTCCACTTCCAAATTCAGTTTCCTACTAGTGTCCCTGAGAAAGCAGTGGAAGATGGCTCAAGTCCTTGGGCTCCTACACCTATGTGGGACACCCAGAGGAAGCCCCTAGCGCCTGGCTTCAGATTCCAGCCATTGTGGCCATTTGAGGAGTGAACCAATTGATGGAAGATTTTCTCTAACTCCACCTCTCAAATAAATAAATACATCTCAAAAAAAGGCCTTCCTTATGCAGACCTAAATCCAGTGTTTTCTAATCCCTGCATAATTTTAATTTACATTCAATTTTTTTTATCCATCTGAAACTAATTTTGGTATAAGGCAACAACTTAAACACATGCTACACACACACACACACACAGAGCCACATACATCTCCCCGTCTTCCCATATTCTGTGAAGTGGCTACATTGTCTCCACATTTTTATTAAATGATCACTCACCCACTCACTGACCTAAGTTCCCTACACTATTTCCTATATGGGTAGCAGCCTCACTTGGAGCCTCTTTTCTTTCCTCTGTTCATTCCTGTCCAATTCATCTCTCTCTCTTTTTTTTTTAAAGATGTATTTATTTTTATTACAAAGTCAGATATACAGAGAGGAGGAGAGACAGAGAGGAAGATCTTCCATCCAATGATTCACTCCCCAAGTGAGCGCAATGGCCAGTGCTATGCTGATCTGGAGCCAGGAGCCAGAAGCCAGGAACCTCCTCCAGGTCTCCCATACTGGTGCAGGGTCCCAAAGCTTTGGGCCGTCCTCTGTGGCTTTCCCAGGCCACAAGCAGGGAGCTGGATGGAAAGTGGGGCCGCCAGGATTAAAACCAGTGCCCATATGGGATCCTGGGGCGTTTAAGGTGAGAACTTTAGCCGCTAGGCCACGCCACTGGGCCCCAAGTCATCTCTTTTAATCAGCAGTTTTATAGCATATTTTATTTTCTGGAATAAACAGAATAATAGGTTCCCCATTCCCCCATACTTTTCCTTTTTTAGTTTTCTTGGCAAATTTTCAGGGCTATTCTTCCAGATAAACTAGATATGGAATAAGTATATCAATTAGGGCGCAACATAAACTCTGGTGTATTTACATTTTTATATAAAAGAGGGCTCAAAAAGTTCATTAGAATACTCCATTATCTTTTAATTCTAACTTCCTATAAACTTGTTGAATACTTCTGGTATTTACAATATTGAATATGGAAGAATAAAGAGTTAGATTTACACTTACTCAATTTCTGTCCTAGCCCTGAGCAGTTTTAAAATTTTTCCTCACATGGTTCTTGCACATTTCTTTTAAAGTTTATTCTCAAACATGTCTTTTCTCCTACTGAAAGTGGATCTTCTATATTCCGGCTCTTGTTCTTTATACTCTTTTCAGCACAGATTTTCTGTTGTTATGTACAATGATCAAGCTTGGTAAGTTTTGCTAACTAAAGCAGGATATAGATACAAAAGCAGTAGCGCCCAGCCCTGCCTGCCTCTCACCATTAATTCCGTTTCCAGAAGCAGTAATTTTTAGCTTTCAATTTTTTAATTATCCTGGTTGTTACCTCCAAGCAAAATATCAAAACTACTGATTATGTATTTAGTTGTATCAGAGGTTACCTTGTTGAATTCTTTTGTTTTATTCCTAGTACTTTTCTCTGTGTGTTTTGAAATAAACAGGGCTATAATAAAAACATCTATAGTAAATAATCATGATCCCCTCCTCTTTATTTCCAACTTCTTATTGCTTTATCTGGCTTAATTTACTAGTTGGTTCTTCTAGAACAAGGTTAAATAAAACTGGCATTAGTGAGCATTTTTGCCTTATTTCTGATATTAACGTGAATGGATATAATACATCTAAAATGATTATGATTTTTTAAACTTTTATAAACAATGGTTTTTGAGTTTATTATATCTTTTTTGCCAAATATTGAACAGACTGTGTTTCTTCTTTGACTCCTTAATGTGTTAAAGTAGAGTAAAAATTTTACTACTCTTGAACTATCTTGTATTTGTAAAATACACCTTTCTTGTCTTGGACACAATTCTTTTAATGTTCCACTGAGTATTTCATACAGGTATTTCCCATAAGGGACACTGATCGATAACTGATTTGGATTTGCTATCACCAGGTTTGGGGTTTATATTATGTTGGTGTTAGAGAATAATTTCATCAGCTTTCCTTCCTATGTACTGCTTAGAGTTTAAGTAGCATGAGGAAGCATTTCCTCCTTTAGTAGACAGATTCCACATGTAACCTCCCTGTGCTTTGTGATTTTTGGTGTGATCTCTGATCCAAATTTAAAAAGTAATCCAATATCTTACATTTTTCCATCAAAATAGCAAAAACCCCATAGTTATGGTGCTCGTATGTATAGTTTCTAATTTTTTTTTATTTGTTATTAACATTGTATTATGTGATACAGTTTTATAAACACTGGGGATTTCCCCCACCCCCCCACACCCCTCCTCCCATAGTGGATTGCTCCACCTTGCTGCATAGCCGTGGAGCAGCACTCATTTTACAGTGAGCTCAGTGAGGGTGCTGCTACAGTTGTATCTTCCAATTTCTCACCTAATGTACTTCCTACAGATAATGCCCCTGAATACATATGAGAGTACTGCAAGAGGCTTGTGGGAAAATGGAATTCAAAAGTAAGTTTATCTGGGTGCAAGAAACCATTTTGGGATCCATAAACATAGTTTGCATTTCCTACTAACTTTCTGTAGTACTCTGGTAACTATCCTGATGATCAGAATCCCAACATCTCCATCACGTGCATAACCCAATCTCCTAACCTATCTAGTTGTATTCTCTACTTGCATGCACGAGGGACATTTCAAATGACATGCCCTCTGTTTGGCTCATGAGCTGTCCCCCTCAGGTCATCTTCTCTTCCCATCACTATGGGGATGTCCCATCTGCTCAGTGGCCAACTGAAAATACTTGTTTCTTCCCTGTTCCTTACTTCTGACACCCAACCCACTATCAAGACCTTCACTTTAGTTATCTAAAGGCTTAAATCAACCCATTTCTATTTCCTCTGTTGCAATCTTGGGGTAGGTCATCATTTCTCATCTGCTTTTTGTATCAGCACTCTGGAAGTCTGCCTGACCCTCCTTACATGCATATCAGATCCTGAATCCTTCATAATAAAATATTTTAATGGCTGTGTAATACACTCAGAATTCCATCTTTTAATGACTACGTACTAACCTCAGAACTTCCTAAACACAGAAGACTGCAAGATACAGTGCCCATTACTTCCTGCTTCACTGGGGGACTCTCCTTGAGTGCCGTGCTTTACACACAAACTTCGTGGGATTCCTACACTGCATATGATGCTTCCCTGAAGAGACTTAGCATCTGCTTCCTTCTCTCGGTCCATTCTTGCCCTTCAGTTTTCCACTTAGACCTTCCTTCTTCCTGCACACCTTCCTCAAATGCCCTGCCTTGGCTGGACATGTTTTATGCACCCCTTTCACCAGTCCGAGGGACCAGTCTAGCTTTCCTCGCTCTCATTCGCTGAGATGTACTTATGGGCACAGGTTGTTAATCCATTGTATCTCACAGCTTCACCCACAGTATCAGCTCACTAAGTGTCAGCTGAGTGGATAAATGCATGAACGAAGGGATGGCAATGGGCTGTGACGTTAAAGACACAAATATGATACTACTATCCTATCCTCTTGAGAGCTCATTTGTAATACTTCTTACCTGGTCAGCCCTGTGACCCTGGCTCACATTCAGGAAGCAGCTAAAATTGGGGCAGAGTACAACTGAACAATAATTTTTTTAATTCAATAAATTAAAAAAACATGGTTCCCTACAGCAAGATGCTTAATCACATTAACATTATAGCTGTCTGACAGTTACTCACTAAAGAAATGTGGTTCTCTGGAGAAATATTACTAAATTTGGCAAGAAATTTCTCAGCAGCATTTCTCTTGGCTTGCTTTTTTGATGCCCCCTTTCCTAAATAAAGAAAAAGAAATAGTAGATTTAGAAAAGACATTATTGTCCAAGGAGGGTGATCAAATGTAGAAAAAATACTGTGTCTCATCAGAGAATAACCACATGGTTTTTAAAGAATTTTTTTATTATTATTTTTTACTGACCTGACATCTTTGTTGTACTTCATACTGTTATGAATTCTACAGTTCTCAAGGTTTTTCTTTAACAATGAGATAAACTGTAATTTGGGTTTTTCTTTAATACTTATATCTTCCTATGGGTAGATTTAATGAACCATATTTCATTTAATTCTGACCACTTATTCAGATTTATAAATGATATTTATAAAATATATTTGAATTACAAGCCTGCTTTTCAATATCTATTTCCTGCTATGATCTGTAACAGACAATCTGGTGAGACTTCTTTCTTATTATGAATAAGAAGGGTACAGATCTAAAGATGCTCAAGTTGCAATATATCACAGGCCTCTACTCCCATACTTCTGGCTTTGATACTTACAAACTGTGGCCCAGGGAAGGTCAGTGATTTGCTTAATCAAGGACTGCACAAGGAGTGGAAGCCTGAGAGTCCTGCCTCTGACCTATGGTTTCGACACTGGGCTACAGCAACTTGCAAGGGCAAGCAGCTGTCACTTAACTGAAACTGGTATCTAGCTAAGATTCCATCTTAAGACACTTTGAAAATGATACAAACATGCCATAGAAATTCTCCACTAACATAGAAATTCTCACTAGTGCTTTTTTTAAAGTGACTGCTTGTTTTTTGTTTTTTTCAGTTTGTCCTCTACAACAAAAAAGTTGCTATATCTAAAAGATCATTTCTACTTTATTTTTATTTCACTGTAATTTTTTTGTCATTTGTCCTGTTATAAATCTCATCTCCAAATATAATCCTACTCTTGTCTTTCCATTTTCTAGAATTCATGTTATACTCCAAAAGACTTACTGTATCTTTTTCTCCAAGATGTATTTATAAGTTGCTGCTTAGTAAATAAAGATAAAAGCCCAGAGTCAATTATTTATTTGCTTTACATTAACTCTGATCTTTTAAACATCAAATTAAGAAGCATCAAGTGTTCCTATGCTAAATAGAGGTATATCAATTCCCCCTAAAGAAATACTTGAAAAGATAAATATAACACAAATGTCAACAGTTACTTATCATCTGAAAATCTTGCATATGTTTTTCATTGTAAGAAGTAAGTACCAGTTTCCATAAATGATTCCAGTCTGCAAATTGTGGTGTATTCTCTCTTATGGGCAGGTCCTCCCTCCTGGGAAAGGGTGTATTCAGGAAGTCTCCAACCATGATGAATTGCCAATTCCTATAAAATCAAGAGAAGAGCTTTAATTGTAATTTTAACTGTTCAATGACACAATCACATAACTTGCATTATTGATTTTGATCTCCATTTCTATATTTGAAAAAAATAACATGCTGCAATTGAAAAATTAAGATCCTACATTTTGCATAGATACAGCTGTATTTTTTTTTAATTTTATTTTTTACAAATAGATTCACTTACAGACTGAAAGGCAGAATTACAGAAAGGGAGAGATGAAGAGAGGCAGACACAGAGTGGGAGGGAGTCTTCCATCCACTGGTTCACTGTGCAGATGACTACAATGGCTGGAGCTAAGCCAGTCTGAAGCCAGGAGACAGGAGATTCATCCAGGTCTCCCACTTGGGTACAGGGGCCCAAGTACTTGGATCATCTTCCATTACTTTCCCAGGCCCAGAAACAGGGTGCTGAACTGAAAGTGGAGCATCAGGTCCTTTAACTGGCACCCACAAGGCAAGCTGGCACCACATGCAGAATCTTTACATGCTATGCCTCAGTGCCCACTCCATGTATTTTATATCACAATATCAAGACTGAAGCAGTTCTGTGCTATGAACAGCACTCTTTCCTTAAACCATAGTGAGCTAGTTAATAGAGGTCACCAGAAAAACAGGCTTCTATGCTCTTTGAAAACATCAGAGGAAACACCTCCACGTCTCAATGCCACCATTCCCAACACCTCTCCCCTCCTAGCCATAGTCTTCCAAACTTTCTAGCTGCTGCTTTCATCAACAGCAGATAATTTGTAGAGAGGGTAAACAAATTTGGACCAAGCTGCAGACAGAAGGTGAAAAACACTATAGAAAAACTCAACAGAGGAAAAAAAATAAAAAGTAAAGTACTGGCTGGATACTGGAGGGCAGGAGTGCTTCAACAGACTACAAGGATAATCTGCATTGTCTGCAGAAAAACAAAGCTGACTTTAATTTGGTGGGGGGGGGGGAGTATAAGATAGACAAATAAGAAAATTGCTTTCCTTTTCTGAATTACATAAACCATTTGGACTCTTAAGTCTTCCATCTTAGGAGAAGTAGAAAACCGTTTATCATAAGAATGACAAGAAATACTTTTAATGCATGAAATCCTCTCTACCCATCTGCACTGAGGTCCTACTAATATTAAATGAGAAGCCCACAAGCCACAGGATGAGGGCATTATATATGGAAGAAAATCCAAAACAAAAATCGGAAAATTAATTTCATGCTAGCTTTGAAATATCTATCTTAACTTGGAAAACAATATTTTGCCACCTTAGTTTAAATAGCAATTTGCCTTACACTGTGATACTATCAACTCATTAGCTTATCAATCTATTAGCAATTAAAATGCTAAGATAGCTAACCTGAATGACTTACCTGTAATGAGCCGATAGGATTGAGCTGGTTCTTTGGTTGCTTGGAAGGGTCAGGCATTAAAGGATCAGGAACTGCAAAGCTGAATGTTTTTAAAATGTTATAAAACAAAGCAAGCTTCCACAAATGTCTAAACAAACAAGTCTGTTCCACTTAACCTTCTAAGCCTTTGCTCTTGCCACTCCTTTTGCATGGAATGCCCTTCATTCCAACTTCTACAGGAATCTGATTTCTCCGACATATAAAATATCTCAAGTGCCACTTGCTCAGCCTATCCTTTTTCCCTAATGGACCATAATTTTTCCTTTCTTTGGGTCATAATTATAATATTTAATTTGGTTCTTGCTTAAGGACACTGTTTTATCACGAATTGTACACTCATACAAGTCTATGCAATTTTTCTATTCCCCGTTTCACTCCTCTGCTCAGAATGCAAACCCCTCTTCCCTACTTATGTAAGCTTCTCAATGTCCCGTAGTTAATAGCTGCTTAAAATCTGTATGTAAAGTGTACTGTGATTACAAGTACAAACAAAAGAAAACTAACAATTAGCTAGGGAATTTAGCCTGGCAATGTGATTAGTTCAGTTCATAATTGGTTTTGCATCCAGGTAACAAAGAGATTTATATGTATCTTGCATAAAACATGACCTGCATGGTCTGACTTCAGCACAGGGGTATTATTGTCAGGGGAAAAGAAAGCAATGTCTTTTAGGTAGTCTGAAATCACTAGTTACTTGGGAGACTAGTTCCTGATGTGGAATAAGCTGCATTCCAAGATTACTAACATTTAGCCAGCTGAAGAGTAACTCCTTCCATGACAAATGAGGTTTATTTAGCTAGGGCCATGTCCTCAAGTTTCTTTTCCCATTGCCAGGATTTCAAGCCTCTGTCAGAACTTCAAGCTTTACACAGGCTGATGAGAGAGGAGTATTCACTTACAATGCTGCATGCCGAAGCTACCCAAATAATTGTGATGGAGAAGTGAGAAAGTCTCTGTATAAAATCAGGCCACTGTTGGCCTGACAACAGCTTAGTAATTCCCATTTTATCTGTCAAGAAGCACAAATATATAGTAAAGTTTGTTAGCCTTTTTTATTTGCTGACAAAGTGAAGTGTCCCTATGCAGAAAGGACACTCTGTACTCTCATTGCTACCAACGTACTCAACACTTGGGGTAACCTTTTGACTGAACAGAAATAGCACGGCTATTACCAGCAGGTGGAGAACCCAACACCAGCCATCCTATTTAGTATGTCTTGAAAGCCGGCATATATCAAATAAAATGCATCACCCAAGAGAATCAAGCATCCCCTAGGGAGACTGAAGGGTTGTGTTGGGCAGGTGCTTATCTGAAATGCTGCCATGTTAGTGGTTAGTACTAAACTACCCAGAGGTTCGGAATGATTTACAAACTCAGAGGAATACTACATAAGAACCTAAGTGCATCCCTGATTCAAAGTCTGTCCCATTCAAGAAGTCCCCAGGGCTCTGTTGTCAGCTCTGAGCAGATCCTACCAGATGGTACTGAGAATACCTGAATGTAAGTGAGGGGAAGAATCTGAAGGCATGCTACACTCCACACTGTGCCCAGGGGAAACCAGAACATGTCATGATACCCAAGGTGCTTCAGAGTCAATACTCTTACCCAAAGCACTTAAAAGTGGTAACATGTTTAATTTGGAAAGACACATCAAGAATTAATATCCAATTGCCATTCTCTTATATCTGGTATACATTCTGTCACAAAAGAAAATGTGTGTCTCCTCTCTTTCCCCATTGGAATTCCGGAAAGAGTATTTTTAGCTGAACTTTTCCCACCTTATGCCTTCTTTTCTTCAGAGCAGAAGTAATGAAATCCTAACACCTAACATAGAATATTGATATCTGTGAGAGAACATACTAATGTCATACTTCTTCAGGAAAAAGAGGCCAGGCCTAGTTCGTGAGAATCTTATTGAATATTTATTTTCTAATTTAATTGGATAAAGTTATCTTAGCCAATGACCAGTTTCCCCAGGGAAACAGAATTTTGGAGCTCAGACACTAACTTCCTTTGTGAGCATCTTCAATTTTTTTATCTTACCTCTGCCATGGTATTTTGGAGCTGCATAATACAAAGAAATTTAGCTCACCAAATACTTGCATTGGCTTTCAAAATGTTTATGGCGGCTTCTGCAGCTCTATGCTTCGCCAGCTTCTTACTTGTACCTTCACCTGAAGTAAGGTGGAAAGAAAGAAAGAAACAAACAAAAACAACCACAAAAAACCTCTTTACTTCTTGTAAAAACATGTGGCTTACATAGACACCATAAAAGAAAAGTCACTACATACATAAATATACACACATACACTACACACACAGGCAATTATATATATATATATATATTCTACATAGTTATATATGGTAATAAGATATTTACCATATGAAATAAATTTTGGGTATTAAAAACCAAAAAAAGTTCTGTGAATTTAATTTCTGCATCCCTGTATAAAACCCTGGTCATTTCTATATTACATGTTTACCACACAAAATCGCAATTAATTATACAATGTCATAACTTTCAAGAAGTGCAATTTAGTAATCTACTCTTCCCTATTCCTGGAGGGGAAATTCTGGCAACAAGGTAATATTAAAATGCACACTATTTAATTTTGACATCTTGTCTCCTATTCCAGGTGAAGCGGTCATGACCACATGCTGGGAACACACAGAGCTCTGTGACAGAAGGTGACAGCTTCCATCATGTGTCTTCCATATAGTCTGTATCTCTTATTTTGGTAGAAAAGAGTTTCCTCATGATAGAACTAGAATCTAAATTTCACTAAGAAATCATACTTGGTTTGGTAAACTCCATCTTTTTTCCTTTTGACTTCAAACCATCATGGAATGAGTTTCAAATGTGACCCTCAAGTGTCAGAGGGTCATTCAGACATTAACACAGGCGTTAGGGACATGGAGGAGACCCTGCCCTCAAGAACTGCCAGACTAGTGTGGGATTTGTTGCTACACAGCTGAAATGTGGAGGTTTATGTGTTAAAACAAGCTGAAGTGTCTACTGCAGGAAAGCACACAAAAGCAGTTAAAAAAGAAACGGGTTGGTCAGTGTGTGCTTTCCAAATTTGAATGTGCACAGGAACTGCGTAGGAACCTCATTAACACGGAATCTGACCCCTTGCAACTGGGGGGGCCTGAGGTCCAAGAAATGCTCAGGTTAACTTCACCTTAAGAAGCAAGGTTCTAAATCATGCCAGAAAACCTCTATCCAGAGGGTGACAGGGCAACCCTGGATGGAGGGGACAAATGTGACCGCTTAGAATGCTCTGGTGGTTGTGTGGGAAAGGACCGGGGCAGAAGAGGACAGAGCCTCCACAAGGCTGTTGGTCCCTGTAATCCCAGGAGGAGCGGGGAGCAAAGGGAGGAGCAGCAGATTCCACAGCTGGCCCAGGAGCAGAGGGAGGGGAAGGGGTCAGGACCAGCTGAGATTTACAAACACCTCTCCAAAGATGGTTACTCAGGGGGAGCCACTGCAGGGGAAAGAGGGAACACTGCACGGTGCCTTTTGATCTTCCCTATGTGGAATCAGGGGCAGCACAGTGGATGACAAGCTGCTGGAGAGCGGAGCTCCGCCAATTCTGGAGTCCTGCTCCCTGGCATCTCTCTATAATCAAAGTAAGAAACATGACAGTACCCATGGATCCAACTGGGCCTTCAGGAACCTACTCTGCTTCTTCCTAATCCTTGTAAGAACCACAGGAGGATTCCAGGTGGATGCCAGGGGGAACTGTTTACTTTCTGGGCTGTCTTGTTAGGGGTCAGGGAACAGTGCGCCAAGAGAATCAGACCAACAGGGAAAGTTGGAATGGCCCAGGACTCAAGGTGTCAGTTTCAGTGTCTGCTCCTCACAGCTGTTTCTGGCAGAAGCCGCATCTTTCCAAGACGAAAAGCAACAGCCAGTGTGGACCGCTAACCCGCCTGGTCATCCATCGCAGTGAACTGTGCATACAGACCTGTGCAGGTGATGTCACCAACGGTTACTCTGAAGGTGAAAGTGGGCACGCGTATTTGCACATCGGATCGTTCGCATTCGTACACTGGGATGTTCTTGGTCTTCATGCCATATTCGTGCAACACCTGAATGGGCGTTTTCCCAGGCTTAGCTGTTATCATCTTTCCCAAACTGCAAAAAAATCAGACAGTCAGAGGTAGGTGTGCCTCGCTGGTCAAAGGGGGGAGGGTGGCACCGACGAGGCCGGGACGCACCTGTACTGCAGCCCGCTGAGTCAGTCACTGCCAAGGTCTGTGACAGATCTGGGGACAGGCAGGCTGGCAGGAGGGATGCCCAGGCAGGAGGGCGGGAGGGCAGAAGGGATGCCCAGAGAGCGGGGCAGGCAGGAGGGATGGCCAGGCAGGAGGGAGGGCGGGCGGGCAGGATGCCCAGGCAGCGGGCGATATGCCCAGGCAGCGGGGCGGGATGCCCAGGCGGGCGGGCGGGCAGGATGCCCAGGCAGCGGGGCGGGCCCGGCGCCGCATTCTCTCAGGACCAAGCCCCGCGCGCCGCGGCCACCCCAAGAGGGGCGGGTCCCGCCGCCGGCGCCGCAGGGGGACGGGCCCACGAAGGGGCTTCTCCCTGCAGGCCGCGAGAGGCCCCGCTCCGCGGCTCGAGCCGGGGACGCCTCCCCCGGGGGTCGGGCTGCAGTGGCTTCGCTCCCCCGCCGCAGGCCCAAGGGCCTGGCTGGCTTCCCGGGCACTGCTGACCTGAATGTTCCGCTGTCCTCGCGCTCCAGCGGCGGCGCCTCGGCGCGATGCCTGCTTTGGGACATGGCGAGCAGGGAAGGCAGAGCGGTACGGCGCGGAGAGGCGTCCTCGCTGCCCGGGTGGGCTGGCTCCGAGACGAGCGCTGCAGCCGCAGCCGCCGCCACCGCCTCTCCCGACTGTCCGGCTCGCGTCCCTCGTGCGAAGGGGGCGGGGCCTCTGGCGGCCACGCCCCCGGCTCGCCAGTCGCCTCAGCGCTTCCCGGCGCCAAAGGGCCGCTTCCCGGGACTCTCGGGAAGACTCGGGGAGCAGGCCCGCCTCCTCTTCCGGCTGCTGCCAGCTCCCCTTCCCGCCGGCGGCAGCGCGGCCTACGGCTCCCGGGGGTACCGGCGCCGAACCCCTCAGCGCAGGGAAGGCTTGTTCGGGCTGGGGTTACGGTCTGAAGGGATGGGCCGGTTGAAGGAAGATTTGACAGTTCCAATGTAGAAAAGCCAGGCCCTGGAGGGAGTAAGGGACCTTCGGTACTTCTGCCCCGGAGGCTGCGAGCCGGGCCCTTCCGCCGCCGGGCGCGCCCCCTTTGTCTGCGGGCTGGTGGACGGAGGCCTGTCCGAGGACCCGAGGCCCACCCAGAGCTGTTTGTCCTCCCCGGAGTGGACGAGAGTAATGGCGTTTGCGTGGGGCAGCCAGCTGGCTTGGCCGACAGTGACTGTACGGGTCTCTCAAGGGATTTGTTCGCAGCCTGCGTGCAGGCCTGCTTGTGCCTACTTTGTAGATAAGGGTGTTTAGCTGGGCATTGTTTGGTCTGAGGGAGATTAGGAAAAGTAAGTGATAATGCAATTTTTAAAAATTGCAAACACATAAGTCCTTGGATACTCGAAAAAAAAGATGGAAAGAATTCCAGGATTTAATAAAACTCTTATTTAGAAGGCTAAGCCTATAAGGTGTTTTTTTGTTTGTTTTTTGTATCATGCACCCCCTCCCGTATGTCCATTGATGACTGTCCAACAGTCATATTTTAATAGTGTAAGGTTCACAGAGCTATTGTCTGCATAACATCACTGTCCATTCAACCTTTCAACACAACCATTTGCTTCTGCAATTTATTGGTGTCCACAAAAACAAAAGCTCCCTAAAAGCAACCCACAACCCTACATGGCTTTCTTGAAAAGCTGCATAACTGAGATATTGATGATAAAATGGAACACAGCAGGACTCCCTCCTGTTCAGGCATTTTAGTCCCTGTGCCTGGCTTCAGTTTAAGTCGTCGTGTATGTATGTGATCATTGTTTCTTATTTATTCGTGCTTATTGAGGCTTTAATTTAGTGTTGTATGAAGATGCACATTGAATTGTTTCCTTAAAGTCTGACAATTTATTAACACTTGGGTTGTTCAACATGCAGAGAAGGAATGAAATGAAATACCCAGTGACCTGTTTAACCCTAAGGACGGCAGGCCACACTTCTCTGTTGCCGAGCTCCACGTGGTAGACTTAGGAAGGAATTTCCTTTGGACAAGGTCCACTATGGTTTGAATCCAGGACTAATGTTCGTGCCTGCGTTGCAATTGACATTGCTACTGGCAAGTCACTATCAACCGTGTTTCTCACCAAGGACGTTGGTGGTCTTTTTAACTTACTGTGTTTTTCCATGTGTATGTTAATGCTGTAGACAGCCAGAGCAAATTAGACCTTTTTTTCAGTGTATCGCTTTACACTGTTGATCTATAATTCATTACCTGAGCACATAAGGGGAGGCAGTGTGGTGAATTGTGTACTGGTAAACTACTTGGTGAAACCATGCTTTATCCTTTCCAAGTGTTTAAGATCAAGCCAGATTTAGTTCTGTGGCCTGATACTCTCCTTTGAAAATGGGTTTGTTATCCAGGGTCTGCAGTTGATGATGTTTTGACTTTAATATGTTTGCGGCTGCCACCAAGAGCTTCGTCAAGCAAGTTGGAGATGGAGGGAGATTAGTGCCGGTTCCCAGCCTCAGTGAAGCCGACAAGTACCAACCTTTAAGTCTGGTGGTGAAAAAGAAGAGATGTTTTCTGCTCCCTAGGTATAAATTTACTTCAACACCATTTACGCTGAAAGATATTCTCCTAGGGGACAGAGAAATTTCAGCGGGTAAGTGTAAGCGTTTGAGAGTGGTGACTCATTTAGCTGTATCATTAATAACTTACACATAGGTCACTTATCCTAGCTGCATTAGTAACGCTTGCACGTTGTCATTGATCAAAGAAACTTATTATGATCATCTCGATAAGATGAACAATCCTTAATGTTTATGTGGTATTATCGCATCTCTTATTGGTCAAATGGTTTTCAGGTGTGACAATGTGAAGTTAACTAAGTCAACATAGAGTAGGACATAATTATTTCTTCTAAAAATGAGATACTTTGTGGTCAAATGAAATAAAAAGTTTGCTTTTATTTGTCAATGACCACTTTGTCATTATAATTGGTAAACATGTATAGTAAAGCTAGATTATAAAATTCTGACAACTTATTGCTTAGAATGCTTGTTTTTCTTTCAACTGCACAGTGGACCTTGATTTTAAGGAGTTATGTTGACTGATCAAAAAATTCAGGTTCATTTTAAGTATTCTATTTGTTTCTTTTTGCTGTAAAATTGATTAAATGGCTGGTTTTGAGATTTATTTTACTTCTTTGAAAGGCAGAGTTAGAGAGGAAGAGACAGAGAAGAGAGGTCTTCCACCCACTGTTTCACTCCCCAAATGGCTGCAACATGCTTAGGGAGGCCAGGCTGAAGCCAGCATTTAAAATTGTCCTCCTGGTCTTCCAGAGGATACATATGAGCTATTCTTCCTGCTTTCCCAGACACATTAACAGGGAGCCGTCTCAGAAGTGAGTAGCCTGGACATGAATCCACACCTACACGGGATATCAGTGCTGCAGTTGGTGGCAGTCCACTAAGCCACAGCTAGTCCCAAACTGCAACTGTTAATCCAGATTTGAAATATTGTCTTTGTCATTAGCATGTGGATAATTGAGTCTTCAATTATAAATGAACATGTTGGCTGTTTATATAGGTATTCTACATAAGATGGATTTGAGACATTTAAAAATACTATATTCCTTCTTGTAAAGGTATTTCATCTTACCAATTATTGAATTATGAAGATGAGTCAGATCTTTCCCTGTACGGAAGGCGAGGTAACCACATGGTGAATGACGTTGGGATTAATGTTGCTGGGTCAGATTCCATTGCTGTGAAAGCTTCTTTTGGTGTAGTAACCAAGCATGAAGTAGAGGTATCAACATTACTCAAGGAAATTACTACACGGTCAGTATAATAATCCCCAGACACATCAGTGCTTATTAAATGTTTAAATATGTAATTATGAAGACTGCTTTAAATGCTTGGGTTGTCTCAGTGTTGGAGCCTGTTTGGAAAATAAACTATCTTGAAAAAAGTTCGGGTTTTGTTTTACTAGTATAATTTATTTGTTTGACTTGTTTGAAATGCTACAAATTAGCAATATATCCAAATTTTGGAAAATAATGGATATCCACAGTCATTTGAGTTAAACAAAATTTTGAACTTTTCCACGTAATCCTTTTGGCTCTGCACTCATTTGCTAAAATATCATATTGATATAAAGCAGGAATACTAAGATCTGCTCTGACAGACTTTCAACAGGCAGACAAAAGCGTTTTCTATGCTGTTCTGAATAGGATTTGGCTCACAAACTCATGGGGATTGTTAAATCCCAAAGTGATCAAAGGTATTAGCACTAAGAGGCCAAAGATTTAATGCAGTCCTCACTTCTGGGAGGTAGACCTAATGCGAAGGCCTTAGGTGCCTGGAGGCAAACCCTGGAATGTTCTGAGAGGGTTGAGCTGTGCCACTTAGTACCTCCTGGCTTGCCACGTGATTGTTCCTTTACACATACTCTCACTACTATTGCCATCCTCCGACCTCCCTATTAACTGAACCAGGGAGTCTCACCAAGTCTTGCAGTATGAACCTCCCAAACTGTGAGGCATGCAAACTTATTTTCTTCATAAAAGGCTTCTCTCAGGTATTTTGGCTATAGTGACAAATAGCTACTGTAATTTATAATCATGTTCTAAGGAAACAGAAAGCAATGTAAGATTATTAAAGTCCCTTTGGGAGTATTTTCTGATTTGGGTCAGACCTCTGTTGATTTGTTTTAGTTAACTTGGCCCGTGAGTAAATCACATAGCGGCAAAAAATAAGACTAGATTTAAAGTAATTCGATGTTAAGCAGTCTTTTGGTAATATATCTTCTTTATTTTAGAAAAATTAACTTTGACCACAGTTTGATCCGTCAGTCAAGGAGCAACAGAAAGGCGGTGTTGTGTGTGGTTATGGAAAGCATTCGAACGACAAGACAGTGCTCTCTCTCTGTACATGCTGGGATTCGAGGCGAAGCGATGAGGGTGAGCCCCGTTCGGCCAGCTCTACCTACCAGCTAGAAAGTTGCCGTGGGAAATTTTTCAGAGTGTTCAGATTCTCATGAAACTTGTGCATGTTATCAGATGTTGAGATGAAAGAGTTGCAGTTGCAAAGGATTTTGCTGTTAGGGCTTTATTTCAGAATATTAAGAAAAATCCAAGAAGACTGGATTCTAAGCGTATGTAATATAGTGCAAACAAAACGCTAATCCTTGTGAAATAATGTGCACACATTATTTTTGTTTGAAAAGCAAAACTGAAATACTTAAGTTGAATTCTTTGACTTAATTTTAGGTGATAAAGAACTACTTTGAATTTTTAAAAATCAAACTGCTTCTTCTGCAGGAAAATAGAATTTCTAAGTTAATATTATCAATGGCAAACATGCTTTATTCAATGTTAAATATCTGTTTAATTTTCTTATCAGCCATGATTTAATTTATCGTTCAGCGGCGTCCAATGATGGTATGATTGGATTAAAACCAATTAGGGAGCGCAATCATCTCACTTCTTTGCAAGTAAAAATTATTTTTGGTGCCTATATTCAGCTGCCCACAAAACTGATTAACATTGGATCTTTGTGAAGCTCAAGTGAAATATTTATTTGATTAGGAAAATAGGTTGATGTTTGCTTTGGAAAGCTGCTGAAAATTCTGAGAGTTTTGGAATAGTGAACACTTCAGGATAAACATGCCA